CCCCCACCACCACCATCACTCCGCAATTCACCCCCCCACCCCACACCTTCACCACCACTACCACCACTTCACCACCAACCCCACCACCACCACAATTCCCCCAGCACCTGACAATAAGATCTTCCTTCTTGTGTGACGTCATCCTGTACAGCGTGTCCATCGGGAGGTCAAGGACGCCGTGCTGGGCCAAGGTCGACTCGTTGACACTGAGAGGGTTGGAGAAAAGTTCCTCCAGGAGACGGTACACCCCTTGTTCTGACGCTGCTGTGGCCCTGAGAATGGCGCATTGTTATTAGGGCTGGGCAATGAGTCGCTCTAGCAAAATCCGGATAAAATGTTAGTGCACCTCTTCGGTAAATAATATGTTATGAACCGATTCGGCAAATGGGTTAGAACCACCTTGACAAACGGGTTAGCATCACTTCAACAAATAGGTGCACCCAATTCGTCAAACTGATCAGGACATAGAATTAAGAGTCTGAATTCGGATAATGTACTTATTGAGGATTATTCGATTATCCGGATATTTATCCGGAATTTGCTAACTTCTAATTGTTACAGCACATCAGTAAGAGTATGGATTTAACGCCCCTTTCAACACAATTAGGTTGTTTAAGGTCTGACTTCGATAGGACCGGGCCAAATAGGTTGAAAACCTTGAAAACTCCACAAACGAATCGAGTTCAAGAACATTCAGTCTGGGATTCGATCCAGGGCCATCCGCCCCGTAGTCGAGTCAACACATTAACATGTATGGCATGACGTAAAATATTACGATATAGTATGGTGTGGTTTGTTATGTTATCTATGTCATATTACGTTATATCATAGCAAATCATGGTATGGTATGGTATGTCACGACAAAGCATTATAAGATGGTATTCTATGGCACCTAGCTCGTTCCCAGCAAAAAATGGCTGTTATTACACCGTTGTGCTTTTCTTCACTCAGACTCAAACATTGGGTGATTAATCAGTGCTCTGGTGTAGTTTGCTCCTGCTTCCTTTTCAAACAATTATCGTCCTTATCTCTCATCCCTTCTTTTATGTGTTTGTTACTCTCTTGTAACACAACTAATCTTCAGCGCTTAACTGTGTTTCAAGCACCGTAAAAATGTTGCTAAAACAAAACTGCAACTAAATGTAACTTACCTGAAAGCGTTTTGGTTGCAGATGGTAATGGCAGGAAAAGCGAGGGTCTTGTTAAAATTGACGTGCACGTTGACAGACGTGGGGTAGCTGTAGTAGTGGACAATCCTCTCCACGATCTGGACACCCATGCACACGGTGCAAGTCAGGAACAGACTCACCCACAGCAGTCTGCAACAGGCGGTGAACTGATTTGAGTTTGATTTTTTATGTATGCGTTTTAATGAATTTAAAAATAAATAAAAACATTTGTATAGAGGATACCCCGCTCAATAGCAAGCGCTATGAGCTTTACACTATTATTATATCGTTTTTATATGACACCATGGACAGGATTAAGATTTTTAAAGGATAGTTTTGAGCAAAGAGAAGCATATCGACACAATAACGGTCATTTAGTGCAGGGAAGAAGCAGGAAAGAAGCAAACCGATAGAGTGAATAAAAAAAAAAACCCAGTTGGACCTACCAGTGTCACACTCCAACCACCCGCTTATACTAAATAGGAACCGAGTTCATGCTACTTACAAATTTAAAAAAAGAAAGCAGATGTTTTCACGCGCCCCAACGACACAATATATCATTTAGGAGGTGAGCTTCCGACCCTGCCTGTTACTGTTAGGGCCAACATTGGCTGGGAGGGATACAACACCCCAACAGAAAGACTGAGATAATCGAGCTCGGGTCTCCTGCGTGCGACAGTGAAGGGCCTAAGCTCTACACCACAGACGCCAGTGCCCCCTTATAAGAAGAGCCAGTAGCCTGATGATAGTGACTCCTATGGCCCCGATCCTCTCCACGATCTGGACATCCATGTATACCGTACAGGTCAGGAACAGACTCACCCACAGCAGTCTGCAACAGGCGGTGAGTACTGATGATCTGAGGTTCTTTTTTAAAATGGATACCCAGCCATAGACAGCGAAAGATCTTGTCAGTATGTTAGTGTTTTAGCGCCTAAAAACGGCCGCTTGCACTGTATGCTTGAGGTTGTTCCAGAATGCTCTCAGGTCGGCTGGGGTAATAGTATAGATTGCGAAGCTCATAGAGCTTTCTGTTGAGCGGGGATTTGCGCTATATAAATGCTATCTTTTATTATTATTATTTGACCCCATTAGCAAAATTAAGTTTTTAAAGGATAGTTTTGTGTAAGGAGAAGCGTAACGGTCATTTAGTGTAAGAAAAAAAGCAAAACCGATAGGCAGAACGAACAGGGAAAAAAAAAAGTTGGACCTACTAGTGTCCCCCCCCCCCCCCCAACCATCACCCGCTTTGTCTAAATAGGAATCAAACTTATGCCCCTCAAAATTCTTTTAAAAGAAAAGGTAAATAATGTAGGTATTTTCTCGCTCCCATTAAGTAGACGGGCTTCAGACCCCGTCTGGGGGCTCTCGCGGTCTAGAGGTTACGGTTATCGCTCTCATTAAATAGGTCCAGGGTTCGAAACCTGGCAGCAACGAATAAATGTTTTTCTCTAAAAATTTTCTCCTTTCACCTCCTTTCCTGCTCTCTAACTTTGTTTTTATCGTGTCGTCTGCTTTCGTCTCCACATTCTGCTCCCTCCCCCATCCCCCTTTGCACCCTTCTCTGGGCTCCTGACTCTTTCCGCAGTTTTTCTACTGATGCTCCTTGGCTCCTTCTTATGTACATGTACTACGGTCTTTCAGCCACACCCCTCTTGATCTTAGGGTAGCTAATATCTATCACCCAGCCTTCTCGGATAAGGGCGACAAAAATATTGCAGGTCTCATGTGCAAGTTGCGTACGTTAAAGATTTCTTGGTGGTCCAACATCTATAAGAGTAGGCTTCGGCTAACCAGGCAAAATTCAAAATTATTTCCTACCAAACTGAAAATGTTTAATGTTTCCAGCGCGCTCATATGATCGTATGCATATTTTGCGAACGCCGTAAAACACTTACCAAAACAAAGTAAAACAATCCTGCCTGTCAGGGCCAAAAGAGGCTGAGAGGGATACAATTTTCCAACAGAAAGACAGAGATACTCGATAAAAAAATTATCCCCACCACGAAATCGAGCTCGGGTCTCCTGCGTGCGACATCGAAGGACCTACGCGCTACACCACAGACGCCAACGCCCCCCTTAAGATCATGTAGCCTGATGATAATGACTCTTGTGGCTCCGATTCTCGTGTAGAGTCGATTGCTTGGAGTTGGAGTGTGCTGGAGCGAGTCAAGTGTTAATGTTGATTGTGTCGCTCGTGAAAATTGTCAAAATGTTCAGTGAAGCAGAAAGGTTGGCGTGGAGTGCTCGATCATTCGTTGACATATTGGAAATACATTATGCCGTTAAAAAGTGTTTGTTTGTTGAAACAAAGGAAACCTTTTATTTAAAATGAAATGAATAATTCTGATGATGATAATTTGTAAAAAAATAATTAATTGAAGGTGTTTTTTAGCCCACATCCACACAATCAGGATCATAAAAGGGGCAGGTTTCCTATCCTGTCTGTCAGAGCAATTCTGATGAGCCCTGTTCACTAAACCAGAACTATAAATTGCAAGGATGACGACTACACCAACAGCAACAACAACTAGAGTAGCATTATCATCGTCAACAGCAGCAGCAAAAAAAAGATAATGGCAATTGTAAAGGCAATTAACAAAGGAAATAGTACAGGGAGGGGGTATAATTAAACTAAGGCAGCAACAGCAGCAGGAGCAACAGCAACAGCAACATCAGCAACAGCAACAGCAACAACAACAACAGCAGCAGCAGCAGCCCCACCACCACCACATCAACAACATCATCAACAAAACAACAACAGCGGGAACAAAAATAATATCAACCTAGAAAACGACAGCAGCAGCAGCAGCA